GTCTTCCGTCACTTAGCTGACCATGGGCAGATGTCTGGGGTCCAGCGAGCAATGTGGTAAACTGCCTTAGCTCCAGAACCTACTGCGCTTGCAGGGAACCAGTTCTGACAAGACAACACTCTTCTAACAGACAAAAACCTAGTTTTAATAGGAATCTAGTCTACCTGATGTCTAGTTAAATTACTTTTAAATTTTCAATGAAGAAACCTGGATGTTTCATTCTGTCAGTGAATCTTCTTTCCTGTTGGACTAAATGAAACATAAGTGTTCCCAAGCATGATGCAGAGTAATAAAAATATTTTCTGTGAAAATATGCGTTGTATGCTTGCCTTTTCCTTCAAATTTAATCTTCTAACAACAAAAAAGGGTTCCTGTATTTAAGGGCATTATCTCAGAAAGCAGGATTTATCTTATAGTTCATCCAAATCATTGACATGGAGCTAGCTCACCTATGGCAGGCACTCTAATGCTGGGCTGGCTTCCCTAACCTGCACAATTCACTGTGCTGTTAGTTCACTGTTAGAAAAACAGTATGTGGGAGGGTAGAGCTGATGTCTGGATTAGCTAATGCTCAATTTTTGTATGATGGCTGAAGCACTAAGTGTTTTCTTGTTCCATCTTCAAGGACCCTTAGAACAAAGCCCCTAAAAATCTATGCAAAGAGGAAAAGTTTTGTTGAAAGTATATACTCTCTATATTCATATTTATTTCACCTGTAGCAAAAGAGTGAAAGTAGCAGTAACAGTGTGGATCAGCCCGGTGATAACAACGTGCAGAGCAGTATGGCAGCACTGACTTAATGTTGGGACAGTATTCCTGGAGCCGATACCTGCACTTACATCAGGAGGCCAGGGATGTGATTCTTTGCAGACAGAATGGTGCAAGCAAAGGGCTAGACACATCAAACTGTGAAACTAGTCACTTCAGTGTATCAAACATGTAGTGCAAAACAAGGACCATACCATGGAAAATGCCATATATGGCAAAGAGTTAAGACTGAATTTAAATACCAGTTATTGGAGTTTTAAGCAAAGGAATGACATCAGCAGCTTGCTCTACTGCTGTGTGGTAGATAGTCATGAGAGGAAGAGGCTCCATACAAGATAATGGGTCAGGACAATGTCTTAATTGTTCAGGTAGACAAGTGCCTGAACTAAGTAGTGATATTAACAAAGGAGATGACAGGACAGATCTAAGTTATTTAGGAAAGAAAATTGGGTAAGACTTAGAGACTGCCTATATTTAAGAAGTAAAAGGGCTCTCTGGGTTCCTGGTAAGGGTGACTAGATAGATGACAGAAGGCAACTCCCAGATAGAAGATCTGGGGGGAAAGAATGGGTTTAAGGGAAACAAGATCTCTAAGTTCAGGTCTCAGCCATGCACTGTTTGAGAGGCCTGTTCCATCCCGAAGTCTACTGTGCAGGTGGATAGCAGAGTCAAGAACTTGGTGGAGATGAAGTTATGAGAGGGAATTGTCAGGATACCTTGGATTCATGTTTCCTAAATTTATCTTCCAGTTTACAAATTGGAATGCTCTAGCAAATCCCAACTAGAAACTAGTATTAATCAAATTCTAACTAGAACATCACATTTGCTGATCTCTGGCATTCACTGGTAAGACACGCCCCGACTTTTCTTGTTTGGCTCAGGATCCAAGTGCAATCCAAATCTGGTTGCTCTGTCTCCTTTTTCTCCATGTCTTTCATTTGGAGGAGCCAGGTTATTTGTACTGTAGTGTCTAACATTGGGCTGTTGGCTTCTTCGTGTGTCCTTTAACTTATTCCTGTCTTTCCTATAAACTGGTTGTTACATCTAAAGGTTTAATAGACACAGGTCCAATTTTTTTTAAATGAATTTTCACAAGTGTGTTGTGTACTCTTACATCACATTAGAAGGCACATACCTGGTTGTCCAACTTTTAGTGATAATTCATCAGGGGGCTCAGCCTGACCCCTACATTTAAAATTCATCATTTATTAACCTATCATCTATCACTAAGGATTGCAATGGTGATATTCTAAATATCATCACTTTTTCTGCATTAGCTACAATTTGTCTGTAGGAACTTTCCCTTATCAATTTATTATTCTGAAATATTTTACTTACAATAAAGACCAGATAAATGCATGATTTTCTATCAATTTTCAGAGTAAATGAATTGATGCTCTAGCAACTTCCAAAGGTAACAAATAATCTTTCACTATCCCAAACTTGTAGATTTTGTTTCAATCCACTCCAGACATTATTTTTGAGACTCAAATTAATCCTTCCACTGCCCCTTATACTCCCACGATTGGGTCCTTTATCCTGTTGACTTGATATAGGATATATGATCTTCCCTCACTTTCTAGCATAAGATAACCCAGGCTTACCTTTGTATTTCCTGCCTCAGACAATTTTTTAAAAAATGTTATTAATTTCAGAGAGAGGAAGGGAGAAGGGGAGATAGAAACATCAGTGATGAGAGAGAATCATTGACTGGCTGCCTCCTGCATGCCCCACACTGGGGATCGAGCCCACAACATAGGCATGTGCCCTGACCGGGAATCAAACCGTGACCTCCTAGTTCATGGGTCGAAGCTCAACCACTGAGCCACACCAGCCCGGCACAGTTTTTTTGCATCCCGGGGCCTGTTAGTAGGAAATGGTGTGTACTTGGGGTGCTACTCATTACTAATGAATTCTGAATTGTCATTGCTGTAAACTTTTAGGCTCTATTGGTGAGACTTGCAAAAAAATGGATATTTTTTCAAGATAAAAATAGTTTATATTGATTTTATACTTATAAAAACCTTAGCTCCTCATGATATCAGTCTAGTTTCACTATCTCACTAGTGATGGACAGTCAAAATACCATGTTCTAAAGTCATTTGAAAGTAACATGCATTTATAATCTGACATGCATTAGGTGTTTTTCCCCAAATTTTAGGGTTATTTTTTATGTAGCTTTTAAATTAAATTTTAGATGGTTCTAAAACCAAAACTAAAGAAAATGGTACATTCACATAAATACTGCTTCCATCTTGTCTCTCTTTTCTCATTATTTACCGTTTTTATTACTTTGGGCTTACTCTTCCAGTTTCTTTTTGAAATACAGTGGGGCCTTGACTTACGAGTGTCCCGACTAACGAGTTTTTTGAGATACCAGCTGTCTCTCTACCGATTTTTTGCATTGAGTTGACAGTAATTTGAGTTAACGAGCTCGGTCTCGGAACAAATTGAACTCGTAAGTCAAGGCCCCACTGTACAAGCAAATACATGTATGTGTGTGCATTCACATTTCCACCCATTCTAACACTAAGGCAGGTAAGTACTAGTACACCACAAATGGCATTCTGCACTTTGCCGTTCCACTTACTGTATGCTGGTAATTATTCAATACACTAGTGTACAGAAATAATCTTCATTTCTTTTTGTGACTCTAAGTACTCCCCGTGTGAATGTACCATAGTTTATTCAGCTAGTCATCTATTAATTGACATTTGGGTGTTTCCAATCTTTTGCACATATTCCAAATTCTGGCCAGTTGCCTTTGGGGAAAGAGCCTAGAATCGTGAGCCAGATGATAAATGCACATGTAATTCTGGTAGAGATTACCAACTGTCCTTCTACACAAGTTTTAACCTTCTCATCATTTTGGTTCCATTCCCTTATATGAATTTTCCCATACCCTCAACAATCAGTATGCTCAATTTTGGGTTTTCCCAATAAAAGGTAAAAAAGTGTTTTTAAATTTCTCTTCCAAACAAGGTGGGCATCTTTTTATGTTGAAGTTCACTTGCATTTCTTTTTCTGTGAACAACAATTTCTTAATTTTGGAATCTTCTTGACACATCATGTATTTTTTATTGTGGGATTTTTTTTGGCTATGTAAACATTTACTATGTAGTTAAAATTAACCAATATTTAGCCTTATTACCGCTAGATTTTAAGTCACATAGTATAGGTTTCCCTCACTCTTAGGTAATAAAGGAGTTCTATCATTGTCTTCTAGTACTCATATGGCTTCATATATATATTAGCTTTCATCTGTTTGCAATGTATGCATATGGTTATTTTTGGTTATCTCAATAAAAGCCCATCTCTGCCCCTTGTTGAAATGCTATTAGAGGCATACCTTGGAGAGATTGCAGGTGAAGTTCCAGACCACTGAAATAAATTGAGTATCGCATAAAGCGAGTTGTAATCTTTTTGCTGGTGGAGGGTCTTGCCTTCAATTTGTAAATAATGCAACACCTGTGGAGCGCAATAAAGTGAAGCTCAATACAACTTCTGCCTTGGGTCTTTTTCTATTCTGTTCCATTGGTCTGTTTATTCATGTGTCATCATCACAGCTTTAATTATAGTTTTACTAACATGTTCAGTAGTATTAACAACTAGCCTATATATAGGCTGTTTATTCATTTTAAATCCTACCTAATAAATTTTATTCTACCACTTATACCAAATTCTCTCATTATAGTAGTCTTGGCTAATCTCCTCTTGGCTCTCCTCTATGTATTTGTTTTCTCTTATTCCTCAGTTGCATTGGCAAATACCTCCAATATAACATAGTTATGGCGATCATAGGTTTTTTGCTCTTCTTCTTGTTTTTAGGAGCAGCAATTCCCTCTAAAATAAACCATTTCTCCCCCAAAGCCTAACTTTTCCTGGATAAACAGATAGTAAAGATATTCCACTGAATAAAAACCTAACTTCACTGAAAATAGAAAAGATGGATTTTTACATTTGTTTTTAGCTTATGGTTATTGCTTTTTGTAAGCTATCTGATCCATGGCAAAACTTACTAATTGGTACTATACAAAGATATTTGTTTATTCTTGTCAAAATCAGATTTAGTTTCAATTTATTCATAAAAAACTATATCTAAACCCAGAGAAAAACATTTGTGATTGGATCATTAGGACATTGTTATGCATGGTATATGTATTACTTAAGCTGCTAACAGAAAAGAAATTAATGTCTCTATAGCAACCTTGAAGCACAAATACAAATTTGCATTTTCTGAAAAAATTCAAGTTTTATTTACTTGTTCTTACATTGGTGAGAACTGATGTCAAGAACTTAACAAGCGGTAACATTTTTTCCCCCACCTCCTAGCTGAACAAAAATACACACAATATGGCATTTTCATTAGGCAAGACTTGCTTCTTTACATTTCACATGAGAATGCAAATATTAATCTTTCTTGAACAAAATGACCAGTTTACTAAGGAAACCATCTTTAGAGGAACTGTTGAATAAGCATATTTTATTTAAATAAATCCTCCAGCAGGAGAATTCATTGCTTTTACTTAGAAGAAGGCTCTGTAAAATTATCTGTTAAATTATCTGCAGCTCACCAACATGTCCTTATTGGAAACATCATTATTTCCACATCACAATTCCCGAAAGAAATTTAAAGTCTCAGAATTCTGTCTCTCCTTTGGCTTGCTTCTCTCTTGATTGTACCCAGGCTTTATTAATGGTTCGCTTCATATCATCATCTCCATCTTCATAAATTTTCTTTAGAACATTCATCAGTCCCTCACTAGGATCTGTTTCAGTGTCATAGGAGGGCTTTCTGTTAAAAAGAAAACGTAATAATTAAGAAGTATGTATATATACATCTAAAAATTATGTGTGTGTATATACACAAATGATCCCATTTACTGACAAATTTTATATGCATGATTGATTACTAAGTATGGGAAGATACAAATCAGGTTAACGTTTGTAGCAAGCAGAGGAGTGGAGGTAAGGGGAAGATATTGAGTATCTAAAGATATTCACAATACAGCACATAACAAATTCATCTTAATGAAAACAATATACACCCACACATTATGTTTCTGGTTGTAGCAAAGAGGGGTTATCAAAACGGCTAGGAGTTTTCTTGGGACAGTGAGATTTTAGTTAATTTTTAGCAGAAGACGTAAGTAAATAAGCATTTACTTTTCTGAACTGTCTTTTTTTAAAAGCATGTTTCCTCGTATTATTTGAAAAAAAAATATTTTGAGAGAAAAACACAAACATACGCTACATATGGACACACACTGAAGTTCATATTTTTTAATTAGAAAATCCCTCCTCTTAAGCCTGAGATATATGGGTATGGGCCTGGGCCTGGCAGTAAAAGCAACAGTCCTTAATGTAGTTAATACCCTTCGTGCAATCAATGTTCAACCTAGGCCAATTAACTCTTATTTATTTATTTATTTTTAATATATTTTACTCATTTTTTACAGAGAGGAAGGGAAAGGGATAGAGTTAGAAACATCGATGAGAGAGAAACATTGATCAGCTGCCTCTTGCACACCCCCTACTGGGGATGTGCCCACAACCAAGGTACATGCCCTTGACTGGAATCGAACCTGGGACCCTTCATTCTGTAGGCCGACGCTCTATCCACTGAGCCAAACCAGTCAGGGCCAATTAACTCATATTTAATTCTTTACTCACCTCATTTATTAAGTGCCAAGTTATATACTGGACATTGGAGATATACAATAAGACAGGGTTCTGTACTCAGGTAATTCACTCTAGATTTAAAAATCAGTTCCACAGAGAGTGCCCAACTCTAGTCAACCACATACCAAATGCATGCTGGCTATGAGAGAGGAGTGAGAGAAAGGTGGATGGCTAACTCATTCCATGTAGTACATTACCAATAGAGAGGAATGTGTGACCTAAAATGGAAGTGCCTTGAATAAACATTTTTTAGAATAGCATTAAGGCCAGATAAAATTATTCTATCTTTTCCACTCTACATCAGTGACAATGAAACTCCATAACTACATTACCAGAAACTTCTATGGAACTCAAAAACCACAGGGTATCTGGGTCTCTCTGGAACTACTAAAATGAACTCTCTGGGAATGGGCACCATATCTAGAGCAGCACTATTGGTCCAGGGTTAAGAACCAGCAAAAAAGAGCCAACCAAATGCAACATGCTGGACACTTCCAGTAGGTTCTGATAGTTGGAGCATAAGTTAAGATAATTGGGTTAGTCAGTGGACACTGAGAGGTAAATGGTCAAATCACAGACTATACAACTCTGTTATCTATAAAGGTAAACTATTAAAAATTTATAATCCAGCAAAGAATACATTAAATTTCTTAAGAAAATGAAAGTGAACTCACTCTTTCTCTTTGCACTCTTTTTCAACTTGAGTCAGGTAGTCCCACCGTGTGTTTTCCGCTTTCTTTCTACATAAGATAATGACTGTATCTGTCTTGACCTAGAATACATGGAGATAAACATGAATGCTTAGAAGACAATTATTTATTCACTAATCATTACTTTAATGTGTAGGACCTGTTTTAAGAACTAGTAATACCTTTATGAATAGAGGCCAGAGTCTGAACAATCATGGACGAGAAAGACCACAACAGGGAAAATTAAGAGTACTAAGTGCTCTCAAGACAAAGAGGGTGCTAATGGGAGCTGGGGAAGGACCTTCATCAGGAAGCACTCTCCAAGATCCAGGAAAAAGAGTCTTCGAAGCAACTGGTACAGCAACGATAAGGGCTCCAAAATGGGATGATTTTGGTGTTTGAATAAAAAGAAAAAAGGAGTGGCTGGATTTTGGTGAAGCGTGGAGTAACATAGTAAGAGGGGTCAGAGACAGGCAGAAAATCCAATCATAAAGGCAGTATCACTGAGTCTGAAAGGTAGTAAGAAAACAGGACAAGTAAGAGTATACAACTCTTTCAGCAATGATCCATGTAACTCCTAGGACAGGAGTCTTTTAAGTATCCTTCAACTATGGAATTAGCTGATGAAAACTGAGGAGTGAGACACAAGTTAATCAATAAATTATATTCCAGTATTACCTTTACGCTGCTACATAATTCTATGTATAGATGGCAGAATGAGACATCTATATACCAGATGTATTAAATCTCATTTATTTAAATCAGGTAGAAAAGAGGGATTATCTGAACTAGGGAAAAGTGTGAATAACAGTTTTTGAAAAGATAGTTTATTTTTTAAAACACATATTTAATAGATTTCAGAGAGGAAGGGAGAGGGAGAGAGAGATGGAAACATCAATGATAAGAAAGGAATCATTGATCAATTGCCTCCTGCATGCCCTACACTGGGAATCAAGCCCACAACCCCAGCATGTGCCCTGACCAGGAATCAAACCGTGACCTCCTGGCACACAGGTTGACGCTCAACCACTGAGCAAGACTGGCTGGACAAGACAGTTTATTTTTATAGCTTCTAACTCCAACTAGGCTAAGTACTTAAGTCCTTTTATGTATCAAAACCACATAAAGCTTCTAATAATAGCTACTATTAATTTAAACACTTTATATATATTTCATTTCAGTATATAATTTCAGCTTTGTGAAATAAATTATTCCCATAGTACAACTGAGGAAACTGGGACAGGAAGTTATTAAGTGACCTGCCAAAAGGTCACAACCAATAAGTGGCAAGACTGGCATTAAAACTCAAGTCCCACTCTTAACCATTTTAAAAGCATAGTCCTCTCCAGAATTTAATGCAATATTCCTATAATAATCTGTTTTTCTGGAGCAGGGGTTGGCAAACTTCTTCTATACAGGACAAGAGAGTAAATGTTTTAGGCTTTGTGGGCCACGTGATCTGCTGTAGCTACTTAATTCTGTCGTCATAGCACAAAAGCAGTCGCACATACAATACACAAACAAGTGTGGCTGTGTTGAAACAAAACTGTACTTACAAAATAAGCAACATGCTGTAGTCTGCTGATTTTTGTTATACAGGATTAATTTATTCTACTTCATCTCAATTCTAAATTGGCCAGGTACAATTTAATGAGATTTCACAATATGACAAAAAAAGCAGACTTACTTTTTTTGAACTGCCTTCCACAGAGATGGGTTTCAAGAGATTGTTCACAATCATGGAGTAATTCTTCCCATTTAGATTCTTTACCAAAAGATCAAATGACCTACAACATAATAACAAACATATTATCTTTCTGGTTCTATGAAAGGTGCTATCTAGTTTTTGTGGAAATAAGCCACAGTTGAGCATCTGGCCATCCCAGAGAAGATTCACACCTTCAAAGCAGATGTGTAGGGCAATTGATTCTAAATTTAAGCAGAATTTTAGATACTGTAAAAAAAAAAAGAGGCCATCACAAAGTCATCGCTGCCTCACAGCTCACTGTCTTCCCCATAATGGGAACTCACCTCTCTGTGAAGTGCACCTGCACATTCTCCGTGGGGACGTGCTGGACTCCAGTTAAGGTAATATAGATTTTCACAAACTTATCTGACTGATCCCACCCTAGTAACAAAACAACAAAAAAAGACATGAGTGAAGTCTGACACTATCTCTAAAACAGTAAGTGCATATGGCTTATCATAAACTAAGTAAAATGGAAATCTAGTAATAGAAACATGAAAAAATTAAAATATATTTTTCTAGATGGAGAAGAGCTTCAAAGCAGTTAAGTAATCTACCCAAAATTAGGCATTTAGCCGGTAGTAGAACTTGGAATCAAATCCGTGTTTACTGAACACAAAGCCCATGTTTTATTCCTCAAAATAAAGAATATGGTCCTTAAAAAATATGTGTGTGTATGTATGTGTGTGTGTGTGTGTGTGTGTATATGTGTGTACATATATACTAGAGGCCCGGTGCACAGAATTTGTGCACTCGGAAGGGGAGGGGTGGGTCCCTCAGCCCGGCCTGTGCCCTCTTGCAGTCTGGGACCCCTCAGGGAATGATCACCTGTTGGCTTAGGCCCACTCCCCGGGGGAATGGGCCTAAGCTAGCAATAAGACATCCCTCTGGCAGCCCGGGAGCCCTCGGGTGATGTCCACTTGCCAGCAGGGAGCAGGCCTAAGCTGCAGTCAGACATCCTTAGCGCTGCTGAGGAGGCAGGAGAGGCTCCCACCACCACCACTGTACTGGCAGCCATCAGCCTGGCTTGTGGATGAGCAGAGCTCCCCCTGTGGGAGCACACTGACCACCGGGGACAGCTCCTGCATTGAGCATCTGCCCTCTGGTGGTCAGTGTGTATCATAGTGACCAGTCATTCCCAGTTGTTCTGCTCTTAGGGTCAGTTTGCATATTACCCTTTTATTACATAGGATATATCCTCATCCGAGAATGCTTTTCCATTGATTTTTAGAAAGAGAGAGGGAAATACAGAAAGAAATATTGATGTGAGAGAAACACATCAATTGGCTGCCTCCTGTACGAGCCCTGACCAGGGCCAGGCTAGGGAGGAGCCTGTAACCGAGGTATGTGCCCTTGACCAGAATCGAACCTGGGACCCTTCAGTCCACAGGCCAACGGCTCTATCCACTGAGCAAAACAGGCTAGGGACTTAGTATATTATTTAATAGTAGTTTGTTTCCCCTATTTATGGAAATAATTTTGTCCTATCCCTAAATATTGGTATTCTCCACTAAACTGGATTACTAAACATCAATACTAATTCCATAGTCATTTCTACTTATCTAAGCAGTTCAACAAACACAACCAATTATAGCTTCCTCAATTCCCTTCTTTGACAAAGTAAAATATAGAGTCCAATTAACCCAAATCTGCTAATTTGACTAACCTAACATTTACTAAATGCCATTTCAGTATATACTGTCAAACTACTGACATTATAATCTAGATCAGTGGTTCTCAACCTTCCTAATGCCGCGACCCTTTAATACAGTTCCTCATGTTGTGGTGACCCCAATTTCATTGTTACAAATTGAACATAATTAAAGCATAGTGATTAATCACAAAAACAATATGTAATTATATATGTGTTTTCCGATGGTCTTAGGCAACCCCAAGGGTCGTTCGACCCCCAAAGGGGTTGCGACCCACAGATTGAGAACCGCTGATCTAGATGATTTGTCAACACAAAAAATATACAAACATCACATAAAAGCATATTATGTTTACTGTATACAATTATATATATATCCCTAACACTTCCCCAGTTTGTGCTATAGAATAAAAGTGTCAATTTTTTAAAAAGTCCTACAGAGTCCTGTAGAACTTCATCTAACCTTTTCCCATTCATTCAATCCATCTTTCACATTAAGTATCTCCCTAAACACAAATCTAGGTTCTTACTTAATGCGCCATAATCCTACCACCATTAGACTATTTTCCTGTATCAATCAACTAAATACATAGCATAACTCCTATAGTACATCTCTTAAGCATGACACACACTGCTTTTCATTATGACAATACTCAAAATACATGGTTTGAGCCCAGCCAGTGTGGTTCAGTGGTTGTAGGTCTATGAACCAGGAAGTCATGGTTTGATTCCCAGTCAGGGCAAATGCCTGGGTTGTAGTCTCAATCCCCAGTGTGGGGCATGCAGAAGGCAGCTGGTCAATGATTCTCTCATCATTGATATTTCTATCTCTTCCCTCTTCTCTTTTCCTCTCCAAAATCAATAAAAACATATATATTTTTAAAAATACATGATCTGATGCCTTTAATGTCTCTATTCATGTCATTTGTTCATGAAATTCCCTTTCTTTTTTCACACTTGCTGAATGCACCCTTCAAACTCAAATGTTTCTTCTACAAGTAGAATCATTTCATCAGCTGCATTCCCATAATTTGTAAATTTATTAAGGATTTACTATGTACAAAAAGAAGCCTAAGGCTGTCCTTGCCTTCATAATAATTCACCACTCAGATTTAAGTCGTCCTACTTACAAAACAAAAAAAGTTACGATCTACTGAGGACAAATGGTATTGTTAGATTTTTGTGGTATTAGTTTTATGTTGTCCCAAGCACCATAAGCAGGGTCTGGGTCTTCATCATTGTTGTGCATCTGATATCACTGTAATCAGCTAGTCCTATCTAATAAAGAAAGAATATGCTAACTGACCCTCACACCATCACATAGAGTCACCCACAACCAATAAGGAGGGAATATGCTAATTGACTGCCACACCCTCAAAGATGGCGACGCCCACAGCCACAAGATGGCAGCGCCCAGTCCCCTCAGCCCCACCAGAGTGGCAGGTGTGTGGCAAGGCCTCCAGAGTCCCCCAGTCCCCTCAGCCCCACAGCCGCCCCGGGCCGGCCGAGGCTTGCGCTGCCGGCAGTGGCAGCAGCAGAGGTGTGATGGGTCGCCTCCCACCCCTGAGGGCTCCCTGACTGTGAGAGGGGGCAGGCCGGGCTGAGGGACCGCCCTCTCCAATGCATGAATTTTCATGCACAGGGCCTCTAGTTATTAACAATAAGAAAGGAACAAAGAACAAAGGGAAGGCCAAACATGATTAGCATGGCCATTTTGGGCAGCTTCACCAGGAAGCTGCACTTTCACATTCCCCAGCCAACTACTGGCCCATTCCCTGCAAAACACTGGAGGAAGGGGTCTAACAAAGGGGAGATGTGCAGAAAAGTTGGGGTGACCTAGGGAAGGTACTTGCCTGCTGATCTAACCTGGGGAACCATGGATTGGCTATAGGGGGCATGGCCTATGCAAGCTCATGAAAATTTGGGAATACATAATCCCCCAAAGGTGCTTGCCCCCAAACAAAGGAGCTTGATCTCTTGGTGCTCTTGGCTCACTGGGCTCTCCTGCATTTGCCCACGTTCCCTCCACAGCCACGTGGCCCTGCAGACCCTACTGATGGACCGCAACTGGAAACACAAGCCAACCTAGCTCAATGCTGGACTGGATGGACACTGCTCCAACATGAAATGAAAACTCTAGGCAACAGCTTTGATCCAAGCTCTGCTGAAGCCATAGCTATACTGCTATGGCAGGACAAAGGAAAATGGGACCTTGGAAACTCAGGTATATAATTCCACAGAAATAAAGTTTTCTACAGTATCTTACCCTCCAGTGCGAGTATCAGAAAATTCTTTTTCTTAGGTCACTGCAAGCCTACTCCCACCAAAAACCAGTAGGGACAAGGAGTGCCCCCCACCAATAACATGTCCACAAGTCCAAGCACAACAGTGGCACATAGGTACTCAAAATTTTACTAGATTTAACTAGATTTCTTTCCTCAATTAATATTAGTGGTTGTTTGGCAAAATGAAATGCAAAACAGGATGAAAATCAAAACAAAAAGCTCTGTTCCATATATACCGAGTAGGTTCTTTCTTGTTGCTATTCATCATTGTACTAAATCAACTTGCTCTGGTAATAGCTTCTAGAATGTATCCTTAGCCTATCCTTTTTCATCTCTTAAAAAGCATCTTATTAAATAAGTGATGTATTCAAACCACCAAAACAAACACTCAAAACTATTTTTAAAATTAAGTTTGTTATGTTAGTTGGTCACTACTGAGGACTCAGTTGCTCACAGGAAAAAAAGAGCTGGATGTAGGGGAGCGTGTCATACCATAATTACTGATTTTCACTGTATATCCCGTTGTAATGGGAGCAACCACTGCAGCTGGCTTTTCATTGTCAAGTTCTGCTTTCCTTGGTGATTTCTGCTGCGTCTTGTTCTTGACTTCAGTCTCAATCCTGGATTTTTCAGCTATAAGAGCATCACGTACTCTCTTTCTAGTGGCCTTTTCCAGCAGCACCTTCACCTCTTCAAGATCTTTCTGTAGCTGTGTTAAAGTAAAAGATAAGTCAGTTATGATAAGATAAAACTTGGTATTATGCCTTTTGGTCATTTCAGTTTTCTGAAATAAGAGCTAAGAATTAAGGACGTTCATTTAAATTTTCTCAGGTTGGGTAGTAACCTGAATTCTTTCCTCCAGCCTATTTTAAATAAAAAAATGAAAACAATCTTGCAATAACAATAGGTAGTCAAGCCTAAATTTTCGAGTTTGGTAAACCATTATCTGCCTTTGTTGAACATTTTCTTAAAATATATTTTTATTGATTTCAGAGGAAGAGAGAGACAAAAACATCGATGGTGAGAAAGATGCATTGATCGGCTGCCTCCTGTACGCCCCCTTCTGGAAATCGAGCCCACAACCCAGGCATGTGCCCTTGACCGGAACAGAACCCGGGAACCTTCAGTCCGCAGGCCAACGTTTCATTCCCTGAGCCAAACTGGCTAGGGCTGTTGTAGAACATTATATTTACAAGATACTTCTGTGATTTAAATTGAGATGAAGAAATCATTTTTTTAAGTAGAAAATGAGTTCATAGATTCCCTTATAACATGCAGTCCTAGTCATCAGGAATTTTAAAAATATTAAAGTAAAAGGATGAGGGAATACATGATGAGTGGTGAAATGCTCTAGTAACTTGACTGAGGTCATCTAACTCTATCAGGAATTGTTCTTCGCTAATATTCCATCACCAAACACCTAAATATTACACCTAAAAAAGTTTGAATTTTTAAGACAAAAGATAAAGAAATTGTATCTCTGCTTTTAAGAAAAAGTCTTGTTCTGAAGCTCCAGGCTTATATTTATGATCAAAAGTCTTGGACTTGGTTGCACAATAGAGAGAAAAAGCCTGGGCAAACAATCCAACATACTCCTGATCATTAGAAAAGCCACCTGTTCTTTCCTCATGCCAGTACCTCGCCTACTGAAGTCTACTTCTACTTTCTAAAGGTAGAGCCGTTTTTTAAGTTTGAGAGTTAAGACACTGTTAGAAAATTAATGGGCTTAAAAAATATTTTTCCAATTATCCTCTGACACATTACAAATAAGGAATTTGTTTTTCTTAAAATAATTTTACATTCTGGCCAATACTAGCAATTTGATAGGAGGATGCTTACATTATATCCTGAGGACATATAAAAAGCTCAATATAAACATCGTTAAATAACTCAGTATAATATCTGAAGTAGAGTTTAGGAGTCCTAATGTTTCTCAAGTCTTATAAAAAATGCAGTGACAGAAAAATGAATGCTTTCTCTTATCCAACTCTTGTATTATCTCATTTAACTCAGATGCCCTTGCTTCACCATCTGTAACTGATAACTGTGCCGTCTCCTGTCCATACTCACGACCCCGAGCTCCTATTACTAAGACAAAAAAATTGCAAGCTTATCTTGGGAGCATAACACCAAGATGTTTTAGTTCAAAGCAAAGCAATATTTTTTATTATAATGGTTTAAATTTTTCATATGATTCTAATACCGATAAAAATGTTGAAATCAAAATTAGTTTATGTTCCTAGAGTGAGAATTTAGTTTTAAAAATGTACCAAACAAGAGGTTTTACTTCTTGATTAGAATAGAAATCCTTTTTTGAGCAGACCCTGAAAAGAACTCTGAGAATTAACGGATTCCCAGGCCCTTTGTAGCCAGTTTTGGCTCTCAAGCACTACAAACTACAAAAGTAAGGTACATCCACTGTAAGTCTGAAACAACGTCAAGCAGGCCGTTTTGGTATTCCTCAATTGTTCTGTCCCTGCAGTCCTGAAACCAGTAAAAGTGATCCCTCTGGTGCCTTTCCTGCACGCATACTTTAAGGTGCCTTAGATAGAGCAGCTTCTCATCTAATTTACCTTGGCATTCACTTGTTTTCCTTATGCAAAAATCACATATCCCTTTTATACCCACCCATAAACACATTCAAATTTATCTTCTAATCTAGTGCCAAATCCTACACTATAAGGCACTAAAATCAAGTGCCTCAAAGTGGGGAAAGGACTGAAAAGACATTTCTCAAAAAATACACAAATGGCAAAACCACTAAGCACATGAGAAGATGCTCAGCTTCATTCATTAGTCATTAAGGAAATGCACATCAGAACCACAATGAAATACCACTTCATACCCATCAAGATGGCTAATGTCAACAACAAAAACACCCAGGAAATAACAAGGGCATCTTCAGACACTGCTTGTGGGAATGTAAAATGGTACAGCCACTTTGGGAAGGAGTTTGGCAATTTCTCAGAGTTAGTTGCCATATGATGCTGCAATTCTACTCATAGGTATACACATAAGAAAACTGAAAGCCATGTCTGCATAAAAAGTTGTTCACAAGTATTCATAGCAGCGTTGTTCCTAACAATCAAAAAGTAGGAATAATTCAAATGTCCATCAATTGATTAACTGATAAACAAAATGTGGTGTATCCATCTAATGGCATATTATTAAGTCATAAAAAGGAATACAAGCTCCACCATGGATGAACTTGAAAACATTATGCTAAGTGAAAAGGAACCAAAAAGCAAAAGGCCACATACTGTAAGCTTCTATTTATATGCAATGCCCAGAATAGGCAAATTCATAAAGACAGAACTGGATTGGTGGTTGCTGGAGGAGGAAGAATGAGGAGTGACTTTTTAATGGACCCCTAGGTTTCTTTTGGGGTGTGATGAAAATGTTCTGGATTAGCAGTGATGGTTTCACAACACTGTGGATATACTAAAATGCACTGATTTGTATGCTTTAAATTGGTTAAAAACAGTGCATTTTATCTCAAACAAAACACCCTCCACCAAGCATCCCTGAGTTTAAGTACCTCAACTGAGAAAGCCCCTTGGTCCTGGCAGGGTAGCTCAGTTGGTCAGAGCATCGTCAGATGTGCCAAGGTTTCAAGTTCCATCTCGGGTCAGGACACACACAAGAATCAACCAATGAATGCATATATAAGTGGAAAAACAAACTGATGTTCCTCTCCCTCTCTCCCTTCCTTTCTGTCTCTCCCTTTTTTCTCCCTCCTCCCCGTCCCCACCTCTGCAAAAAAAAAAAAAAAAAAAAAAAAAAAAAGCAAGTCCCTTACTTTGAAGAGGATGAATACTGAGCTATCCTGATGTTAAGACTGTAAAGTCACTTCAGAGGTTATTTCCTCAGGGCACCCAGTACCCCAAGGCCTATCTTTCACCCATCACATAAACTTGTGGCAAGTTATCCAGAATAACACTTAAATACACACACACTTTGTCTTCATTTAAACCAGAGCATGAGACTTAGAGTCACATCTGAGATTCCCCAGACGTGTTCCTATTGAGGGAAAGATGTTCCTATTGAGGGCAACAAATCTAGACACCCAGCACTTCCCTGTGATACTGACGTTCTAATCAGGCCAGGAAAGAGCCACCCGAACAGCATTCGTCCCAGGTGGAATTTCCAAACTGTCTCCAGGAGAGTTGGGCCGCTTCGGCGCAGTTTACAGAACAGAACGGAGGCGAGGAGGAGGCTCTTCCCCGCTAGTGACAACCACCCTCCCATGGGCAGACGGCTGCCCGCCCAGCCCGTTCCGCAGAACTGCTCCTGGGTCCGCACAGCCTCCGGCTCAGAGCAGCACAGCAGCGCGCCCCGCAGCACTGGGCGACTCGCGACGGAGAATCCGCGGGCTGGGACCAGACGTCCCCCCCGCCCGCCACCTTCCACCTGGAGCGACCCTCGGTGTTCGCGATCGGCCCTGATTTAAGGAAGCGTCACGGCCCCGGGGCTGCCACAGCGGGCGCCGAAAGGGCCTGGGGCAAACGTGAAGGTGACCAGCCGCTCGGTCCACCACCCGCACTACCCGAGGCCGAGAAGCCCGCCCGACACACCCCGCTCACCCGCACCGCGCGCGGGGAGAGACCCCGGCCCGGCCACCGGCAACTTTCCCGCAGGGGCAGCTCGGCACCAGGGGCCGCTGCAGGGATGAGGCCGGGGAAGCGCGGGGACCCGACGGCGCAGGAAGCTGCCAGGGGGTCGGCCGCAGGGCAGTCAGCACGGGAAACCGGGCGGTGGAGGCGAGCGACCGCGACGGGGCGACTGAGGAAGATGAGGCGGGATCCTTACCTCCTCCACAGCTGAAGCCATGGTCCGGCTGGGTAGGCAAGGCACGAGCCGCAGCCCCACGGGGGAAAGAACAGGAAACGCCGCACCCACGTGACTCGCAGCGCCCGCAGCCCTGCGACGACCCTGACCCTGCACCACACCGCGGCCCGCCTACCGCGCGCGGCGCCTCTGGAACCTTCGCGAGTCCGGCGTCACAGCCCCCAGCGCCGCCCGCCGCCCTCCCCCCTCAGCCCCGCCCCATCCCGCCGAACCTGGCTCCGCCCCTCCTTCCCGCGAGCCTCCTAGCGACGCTGAACTCTCGCGAGAAGTGTAACGCCATTCCTCTCCGCCAGAACGAGTGTACGTTTGTACGTACGCCTTGTTTGCCCTGGCTGCGCAGTCGCAACTCGGAACCTTACCGCAACCCGGAAGGAACGTATCGGTCTTCGAGCTCCAAGTCGGAAGTTGACTAGAGAGACGGCTGCTTCCGTCCCCTCTAGGACAGCGGAACAACTAGGCAGCCATCTTGTTTGAGGCTAACCTGTGAGCCTCTGCGAGAAATGGACACAAAAGGGAAAAGGGGCAGTTTATTTATGTTGTTAAAACGGGAGAGAACGAGAAGTTAACTATGGAGAACCCTGGAGAGAACAGTGATTTTCACTGGGTTCTGGCACCAGCGACATGGTTGTGTCATCAGGGACCAAGTGGGGCTGCGTTGGGCACGTGACGGCGCGACCGGGGTTAAGGCTACTAATACCAGGCGCCACACACTATAACCTTAAAACACGCGCTCTCCTGTCCCTGTGGTTTGCGGAAGCATTTCCGGGGTGCCCGCGCCCCCGCCACTGACCATTCTGCAAGTCTCCAGTTCTCACGGGGTGTGGATTCTGGGACTGTATTCGGCTCTGCTGGCTCCAGACTCTCAGTAAAAGCCCCTAACAGCGGTTCTCAACCTGGGGGTCGAACGACCCTTTCACAGGGGTCACCTAAGACCATCGGAAAACACATATATAATTACATTACAATTCATAACAGTAAAATTACAGTTAAGAAGTAGCAACGAGAATTTTATGGTTGGGAGTCACCACAGCATGAGGAACTGTACCAAAGGGCTGTGTCATTAGGGAGGTTGAGAACCACTGCAAGAAACCAACCCACTTGTCAGGTGTTTCAGCCTGACAGCCTCAAAACGTCTGCAGCGTGAACACTAACCCCTGAGAAGTCCCTGCCCGCAGTCACTAAGCTTTACTATCGCCGGAGGCAGTGATTAGAATCAGAGAAGAAAAAAGCTTTTAGAAAGATGCAGGTTGATCCTTATCCTAGCTAACAAAGGGGAGTACAATTCAAAAGCAAATGCATGAATTTCACAAACGTGAAATGAAGTCTAAAAACAACAAAACTAGCCTAAGGTGTTATAAAAATCAGGAAGGTCTTACATGCATAGCCCATGGACAGGGACAATAAATAGTGTGAAGGGTTGGGCAGGGGCAGGGGCAGGGGGAGGAGCCAAGAGGAGGTTGGGTGAGGGACAGCTGTAATACTGTCGTCAATAAGTCTTTTGCCCCAGTGCCTCTTCCGGGCCCGTTCGGCGTTTGGTATCTATAATACAATAAAATAAGTCCCTATTTCCTTTTAATTAATTGTCTTATTATTAAGCTAGCTTTTTAAAATTTTATTTTCTTGTTTAAAGTATTACAAATAGTAGTACATATGTCTCCTTTTTCCCCCCATTGACCTTCTCTGGCCTCCCCTACCCCCCCCCCCCACATGCCCCCCCCTCCACCCGCTTGTGCTTATATGCATGCATACAAGTCCCTCCATTGATCTCTTACCCCTCCCAAAACACTCCCCAGCCTTCCCGCTGTAATTTGACGGTCTGTTTGATGCTTCTCTGCCTCTGTATCTATCTTTTTGTTCATTAGGTTCTAATGTTCTTTATTATCCATAAATGAGATCATGTGATATTTATCTTTCTCTGACTGGCTTATTTCTCTTAGCATAATGCTCTCCAGTTCCACCCATGCTTCTGCAAATGGTAAGAATTCCTTCTTTTTTATAGCAGCGTAGTAGTCCATTGTGTACATGTACCTTATTATTAAGCTAGCTTGAGGGTTTCTGTTACTTGCAACCAAGGAATCTCTAGGACAGTGATTCTCAACCTTCTGGCCCTTTAAATACAGTTCCTCATGTTGTGGCCCAACCATAAAATTATTTTCGTTGCTACTTCATAACTGTCATGTTGCTACTATTATGAATCATAATGTAAATATCTGATATTCAGGATGGTCTTAGGCGACCCCTGTGAAAGGGTCGTTCGACCGCCAAAGGGATCTCGACCCACAAGTTGAGAACTGCTGCTCTAGGAAAACAGGGCCCTTGGCAGTTCTGCAGGTAGAGCCTGGAACAAGCGCCTGTGTGTTTTTTCTTCCTAAGCAGACTGGAGTCCAGTGTCAAATAAGAAGTGCTACATAAACACTGGGTTCTGCTGATTTAGAATAAAATCAACTAGAAGAAAACAGAAAAGACAGATATAGACTCGGAAACAAATGTTTATTACTGCTTAATGGGGCCAAAGGGGCAACACAAAGCATTGAAAACATCACTGGCTCACAAAAACAGTCACCTGTGGTTACCTTCGGGGTTGCATTTGTTTATTTCACAAGGCTCCATTCACACATGAAAACAAGCTACTAATCCAGTTCAAGTTCATAACAATTATAAAAGTAAACATTTTGGGGACAATGTACAATAAATTGCACTTTTCTTAACAAGCATTACATTTACATTTGTGGTGTGTACTATGCATAATACATGGAATTATGGAAACATCTAATTGGTCAGTGTTTATAGAGGAGAGAGGCTGCCCACTAAATATTTCTTTTGTCGTCAATTAGCACTGCCGGGGCTAATCAACTCCTTTATCCCAGAACCTGTTTCCATTAGAGAAACCATGGACAAAAATCATACTATTCCTGAAAATAGATGTTAGAGAATTTCTACTACCTCCTCAGCAAGGGAAAGGTAGGAGTTGAAAGAAAGAAAGTGGGGCTGACTGAGAAACTCGTTTCTTTCATTTGAATTAAGGATCCATATATTATGCAAAATACCAAAAATAGAGAAACTGATGTGAAAGGCTATTGGGACATCTTGGATTCTGGGACCATGTCCAGCTTTGTTCTTGTGCTTTCATGACACCAGAGTCTTGATGCATTGATGTCCTTATAACTCAGTTTCCTATATTTTATTCCATATATAATATATACTTATGTTACAGTGGAAAAGATTTTACATGTTAACTTACTGCCAATGAAAACAAAAGGAACTTAAAATGTTCATTTTCTACTCAGTGATTCTTTTTTCTTAAGTTTTTCAGAATACCACTGATGATAAACCTGGGATGGAGGTGGGGAGAATGGGACATGTTGATGAAGATGTTTGTACAGCAGGTAACAAATTCATTTGGAGATAAGCTGGACATGTCATCTTTTAGATGGAAGCTGAGAAGGGGACTCCTGACCGCTGACTGAGTCACTCCCTACTTGTAAACATCCAGTTTCTCATTACAATTCAAGATCATCTCTGCTTGAGGTGCAGCCCCCACTAAAGTATTCATTTTGGTAGCTTTTGAAAGACAAGGAATTCCTAAGGTAAAGGGCTTTGCCTTTATTGTACAGAAGCCACTATGAGAGAGGATGTTTTGGAGCAGTTCTAGTTCAGTGTGACCATGAGCCTGGCAACTCCAACTCGAGGCAAGAGCTTGACAGCCAGTAGTGAACAGGCCATTGAACCGTTACCTGCCCTTCTGTATTCAGTCGCCATGTATGTATTCAGGTGCATGGTACCTGGGTATACAAGAGTTAGGGACACTCTATAAAATTTTACACACACAAATCTAACTGTTCAAATCAAACAATAGTTTGTCCATTCTCTCATTTGTAACGGAAGCAAGAGAATCAGAGCTTTTGTAAGTATTGTTTTTAAAAGTTATATATAGAATCATCTTATTAAGTGTTCTTTTCAAGAGAGATAAAACAAACAAGGTATTTAATTTTTTTAAAGCTCCTTTGTCCCTTAAAGGGGTCCTGAATTCAGACACCCACCTTAGCAGAATAGTTAGTAGAGTGATTTCAGCTAAAAAAAAGAAAGAAAGAAAAGAGTCCCTTACCTCAGTTACATGTGATTCTCAGCTGCAGCACCTAATCAACCCTTTTAAGGATTCCTCACCTCTTGTGCCCTAAACTGTATATTCTCTTGTTTTACTCACTTTGGCTTAGAAATGAAGCCACTAGTTATTAACTGGAAAGTATTTAAGAAAATGGAGTAGGGGTTGAGAAAAATAAATAATATATAGTATAAAAGAATGAAAACGTTGAAGAAATGAAACAAGATATATACGATTAAATATCCCAACATCAGTACAAAGATTGCTTTTCTATTTTACTATGAAAGTTTAAGAAAGTCAATGAAGAAGAAACTGCCAACTTAATAGCCAAGAGAGGGGAATACAGGTATTAGCTGTATGTTGATATAGGCCAGAGGCCTGTATGGTATTCCTATCAGTGTTTCTGAAATGCTCTCATATACAGAACATTAGGTAACAGAGTTTGGCTTTTTTGCATTTAATTATATGTAACTAAATATAATCAAATTGTGCCATGGCTCAGAATGTGGGTAGCTAGCAAACATATGCACTGCAAAATTCAGCTTGGTTTTTTTCAGCTTTAAAATACATGTTAAATAAGATTTTCAAGATATAAAAGCTACTGAATTGAATAATCAAGTTGAAGTTCATTCCCTTCATTTATTTTGCAGAATTTAATGAAAAGAGAAATAATCACTTTTCAGAATGTTGCAAATGTTAGATTCTGGAGGAATGTTTTAGATAATGTGTTCTAGAAAAGATGAAAAACACACTCTAATATCTGAAAATTTCCTGGATATTTGGGCTAATCTCTTTCTAAAGGAATCAAGAGAAGAGTAGCAATTCTCAAATATACTTCAAAACAAGTGAAATTAAAACTAGCAGTTAATCCTAGGATGCATGAGTTTTAAACAAAAGACAGTGAAGGACATGTGGTTTGAGATAATGCTGTTATAACATATTGTTTGAATAATCATATCATATACCGTATTTTGAATTTTCTTTCTTTCTATCTTTACTATTGCTACTGATCCAAAGGCATTGCAGTGAAAAAGTTTAGACTTATGGTGCCAAAACATACTCAAGTATGATATG